TTGCATCCTTATTTTTCTGAGTAATCTGTTCTGCCAAGCTTCCCCCTTTATAGTCTGGGACCAACCAATTACCATGAAAATCAGATGAATAAATATTGAAGAGAATGTGTTCATCATCTATTTTCGTGTCCTCACAGCAAGCAAGCAACATTATATTTTTAATTAAGTCTTTCATTTCCATTTTCCCTTTCAGCTAAAGCTGTCCTCCATAGGATCAATTAAGCTAGATAATCAGATCCAATGAAAAGCCCCCCAAAAGCACAGTTATTAGTAGGTGTGATTCACACATTTTCCCAACCATACTGCAAATTTCTGCTCCAAAATTAAAGTTGTAGAGACAACACAGTGCGGGGTGTTCAGGGCTTGCTCAGACATCTGGTCTAACTTCATCTCCTTCTTACCTTCTACATTATCTCTATACTGTCTTGTGAATGAATAATATATTAGTAGTACATATCTTTTCATAAATCATCCTTTTGTCTATAAGGACTGAGTGACCAAAAAAAAATACTAAACGTCTGTGACCTACAAGAGGGTATAATTTAGCTAAATTTTAATATTAAAAAAAAAAACCTAAAAATTTCAACCAAAATATGTATATTCTCATAGAATTGCTTAGATATTTTCTCTCCTATTTACTTAGAGATAACTACAACAAATTTCATAGGCAGTCAATGCAGACGGAAAGAACTCTGGACTGAGTCTGTGTAGAAAACTTATTTGCAAACCCAGGTTGCCTTCTTGGGTCCTCAGTTCCTAACCTGCAAAAGTCTGAGGTTGATTTATGTATTCAGTTATCCAATGATTACTGAACACTATTTATGTGCCAGACCCTATTCTACATGGTGGGAAATAACTACACTGAACAAGATTGCTACCCTCATGGGGATTATAGTCTAGTTGTTGTTGTTGTTTAGTCTCAAGTCGTGTCCAACTATTTTGTGACCCTGGGAACTGTAGCCAGCCAGGCTCCTCTGCTCATGGGATTTCCAAGGCAAGAATACTGGAGTGGGTTGCCATTTCCTTCTCCAGGGGCTCTTCCCAACCCAGGGACTGAACCCACGTCTGCTGCAGTGGCAGGCAGATTCTTTACTGCTGAGTCATTAGAGAAGCCCTGTTGTCTGGTTGGGGGAGCTAAATAATAAATTAGCAAATAAAAGAGCGCTTGTTTGTGATAAGTACTTAAGGGTAAGAATAAATCAGGGTAAAGAAGTAGCAGTTATACAAAGTATTCTCTATGAGATAAAATGGTGGGGGGAGGAGGCTTCTCTGATTTGGAGTAAACCTAGATCATTGTAAGAGGTGAGTATAACGCCATAATCTTGACATTCCCTTGATGAACACACAACCAAAGGAAGCAAAGACGATGAAGACAGATTTCTCTTATGAACAGCACCTGAAAAAATTCTAAAGGAAATATTCAGACGCCAAATCCAAATCCATGATTTACTATGTCATAGACCAAGCAGAGTTTATGCCAGGATGAAACATCAGAAAAATCTACCTAATTCCCCAGACAAATAGACTTTAGGGGAAACAAATCATGGCATTATCGCAAAAGCTGTTGAAGAAACATTTGATAAAGTTCAATACCTATACATGATAAAAGTAATTGGGTTATTAATATATACGTTAATGGGAGCAGAGATTATCCTTCCCACTGGTCATGGATATACACCAGGTGCCAAAATCAGTGTCTGGATTAGTGGACCTTCAGTACACATTTGTTGAGTGAAGAATGAATGAATGAATGAATGAAGTCCTTTAGGCTGATTAGAACATCTACGAAAGCTTCCATCATCCTTAAGAGATGAAAGTGAAAGTCACTCAGTCTTGCCTGACTCTTTGCGACCCCATAGACTGTAGTTCACCAGGCTCCTCTGTCCATGAAATTCTCTAGGCAAGAACACTGGAGTGGGAAGCCATTCCCTTCTCCAGGGGATATTCCCAACCCAGGGATTAAACCTGGGTCTTCTGCATTGCAGGCAGATTCTTTACTGTCTGAGCCACCACAAAAGCCCGCATGAAAATTTAGAGGCCATTCCTTTTCAGGTTGGACACTGCACAAGGGCGTCCTCTCCTGGCCAATGCTCAAAGATGCCCTGGTCAGCGCAGCAGTACTCTGTGAGGTCTGGGATTTGGAAGACGAAGAGAGACAGTCCGTGTTTGCAATGGCATGGCCGTTGGTCCAGTAAAACTACGACAGTCAGAAAAATTTCCAGAATCAAAATCACACTACTTTCCTCTCCCTGCAGCAATAGCTATTGAGAAAAAGTAATCAAAAATAACATATCACTTAAAACAGGCACTAAAACCGGTCACCCAAGGAAGTAACCTAATAAAGGAAACAGAAGAACTTTCTGGAGAGAATTTTAAAATTCTAACAAAAGGTATCTTAAAACTAAATAAGTGGAGACATGCCACGCTCATGGAGGTGATGATTTACTACTAAAAAATGTCAGCTCTCCTCAAATTAATCTGCAAATTCAGCGCAAGTCCTCTCAAAACCACAGCATGCATTTTTGGTGACTTGGTAAACTGAATCTAAACTCAGAACAAAGAACAAAGGTCTGAGAATAGCTAAGACAACTTATGAAAAGGAGTCTCAAGAGGAAGGACTCACGCCACCAGATATTAGGATAGTTTAAAGCGTGATGACTAAAGCAGTATGGAACATGCACAAGGAAGGGAGTGTCAAACCAACAGAACAGAACTGAGAGTCCAGAAATAGACCCATGACACAGAGAACTTAGTGTGTGTTAGAAGGAGCATCACCACCACAGAGAAAAGATGAATTCTTCGCTAAATAGTGATGGGAAAACGGACTCACTACATGGCGATTTTTTAAACGTCGTGCCCTTCTCTCACATCATCTTCTAAAGTAACTTCAGTTGGGCTTGAAAGGTAAAGGTGAAAGATAAAACCATGAAGCTATTAGGGAGAAAATACCAAAGGAAGATGCAGTATACCTGTGATTGGTAGGTGAGAAATCTTTTAGAACTATAAACCATAAAGGGGAAAATTAATGGATTTAGCTATATTTCTGGAAAAAAAAGACTTTTATTTGATGAAGAAGGTCACAGACAAAATTATCTGAGAGGTGAAGACGTGGGAGAGTACATATGGACATTCTATGACTGGAGAAAACTCAAGGAAGGCCATTAAGAAAATTAAAGGGGAAATATGGGGGAAAGATAGGAATATAAAATTTACGAAGAAACCTGTTAAAGTGCAATCAAAGAATTGCACGGCAAACAATAAGACATCTCTTCACTCCCCAGCCCCGTCATATTAGCATAATTAGAGAGAACAGGCCGATGAGGGCCCTTCGTCCTCTGCCACTGTGCATGTCGATAACCCTAGTCATTCTGGAAGTAAATGCAACCCCACAGTGACATTAAATGTATATACATTCTGCGATCAAAAAGTCCACTCTTGGGATATGCCCAAGAGAGAGTGTACCAGGCGCAGGGGGAAACAAGAATAAGGTTTTCAGCGACTTCAGGTTTTTAATCCTTCACAAAAGAGCTCAGGAAGTGATGTGTAGACTGTGTATCCAGTGAGCCCCAGATGGCCCACCTAAGTAACACGTCATCATGCAGAGGCACCACTGGCAGATCTCAAAAACATGTACCGAAGGGGAAAAGAAAGAAAGGATTTGTGGAACAATATCATGCTTGTGAATTTCTAAAACACAGAACCACAAGCTATGTATTTTCCTTGGTATGTATATATATGTGAGAAAAAGTCCACACAACTAAGGAAAGTGGGTTGGAAGGCTATAAATTACATTTATGGGGTGTGGTTGCCCAGGTGGAAGGGAAAGGGGAGATGCAGAGGTCTAGGGAGCCAAGGTGGGCAGGCAGCTAAGTCCAGACACCTGAGGCAAAGCATCCTCTCTAACACACACAGTTCAGTTATGTCCAAATTCAACTGAGGACTGTCTTCATCCCTACCTGTCAATCAAAAAACGCAATATCTGTCATACAGAACAGACTTGTGGTTGCCAAGGAAGGGAGGGGGTGGGGGAGGGAAGGACTGGGAGTTTGGGATTAGCAGATGCAAACTATTATACAGAGGTAGGATAAACAACAGATTTCTGCTGTATAGCACAGGGAAATATATTCAATGTCCTGTGATAAACCACAATGGAAAAGAATATATATATATGTACACACACACACATATATATATCTCTGTAAGTATAACTGAGCCACTTTTCTGTACAGCAAAAATTAACACATTATATATCAACTATACTTCAATAAAATTTTTAAAACAACATCCTTTACTATGGAGATAACTCTACCTGCTGCATTGTTCTCACTGGATAAAAGATTTTAAACAACAATCCTGGAATTACTCAATAGTTAGGTTAGTGTAACTACATTTATTAAACTTAGTAATTCTCAGACTATGCCAGGGTGAAGTCAAATTTGTTTACTTACTGGAAGATGGGGTATTCAGTCAACCCTACAGAATTACTGAGAAACAATTGTTCTGCTAGGAAGAGCCAAAAAGCCAAACTCACTGTCATGAGCTATTACTTCTCTCGGTGGGAAAGCAAGAGACAATTCATAGGAGGCTTACCTATTGCTCCGTCACATTTTACAATCTGCAAATAAAATCTTGTGGTTCAACTTGTAGAGAAATTTGAGGTGAGTATCAAAAGCCCAGGAACCCTGCACTTGTGATCAAAGATTCATTATGAATGTGTTTGAAAGGGAAACCCCTGCAGTTTTTATATTCACTTTAAAGAATATGAGAATTAAGGCTTTCCACCTGGGCTCTGGTGCATTTCCAAGTCTTATAAATTGTATGGGGCTCTAACAATGGGCTCCAGTAATCTGACTCTGGCCTGAAAGTAAGTCCTCTGGGCCTGGTCTCCAGGGTCCCAGAGAAGTGACTGTCAGGACTCAGCACGCATATGTGGGTAGAGAAGGAAAGTGGTACCCAGTGCAGTGACCGAGGGGAGACTGTTGGAGGGAGGGTGGCCTCACCGTGCCTTCTGGGTCCACGAGCAGCAAGTGTTTGGCCTGGCCGTTGTGCATGCCAGTGAGGACGAAGGAGCCCGGGTTGGTGGTACTCTTCCTGACCAAGAAGTCTCCATCTCTCTTTAGCAGCCCCTCTGCCTCCTTCCTGCTCATCTCCCCTTGATACCAAGGCTCTGCTTTCAGTTCTTCCAGCATCTTGGCATCTGGCACTCTGGGTGAGACGGGGCTGATGCACTCCATGGAGGCTGCCTTGCTCAACACAGGCCCCAAGGACTGAATCTTGAGGGCATCTTCAAAAGGCTCTGCCAACAACATGTGCCAGCAACACGTCAGTTCCAAGGAGAGCAGAAGATAAACAACACAGTGTGAGGGTTGGCAATGCAAAGGCAACTTCGACCAGAAAAAAAAAAAGTAGAGAAAACTGACTGGCTGGTAAGATAACAAGATTCATCGTCATGGCATTTGAAAACACAGCCCAAAACTTGGCATGACTCTTTCTGATGAGTCTGCTTTCCCAAGACAAAGATTCAAGCACACCCTTTGTCTCACTAGTTAGAATGACTTCATTTTTGCATGCTTCAAGAGGCCAGGCATACTACATGCCATCTACTTTCTCTGTAACATTGGCTAGCCTCTTCAACAAATGTGCTCTCTTCTGAATAAAAATCTGTCAATATCAAAGAAAATACACGGAGGAAAAGGCAAATTGCAAGGTTTTGTGAAAACCGAAACCCAGCCCAACAAATGTTTCTTTCAAAATCTTTGTATTAGGTGCATTTTTAAAAGCGAAGAAAACCAACATTTATTAGCGGCCCTTTGTGTGACTTGCCCCAGGCTAGGAGCTCTACATCCCTTTGACATCCACTTGTTTCCCTGTGGAAAAAGGCTCTTGTATGAATGTTTGAGATTGAGCTTGACTCTATGCCCTTCAGAACACACTTCTCACTGTGGGGCAATTGCTCTAAACAGCAACAGATATCAGCAGTGAGAGAAGTCGACAGGCACATCTAATTAAATCTCAATGTTCGATTTTCAAACAAAGCAATATGTGTAACAGCACTCTGAAAAATGCACACAGTGCTACACAAGAGTAAGGTGTTGTGATATTCATTGAGGACCACACTGCCAACATGATACAGTGCAAACACCACAAGACCAGGAAAGTTTGTCTCCTGGGCATAGCTACATCCCCAGAGGCCAACACTGCTCCTGGGTCATAGTTTGTACCCTATAAACATTCAGGGAGTGCTGTAAAATCAGACCAGTTTGTTAAATGTTAGCAGAGAATGGGCAGAAGTGAAGTGAATAAATGAAACCAAAACTAAGATGTTTTGACAACTTATTAAATTATTTACAGATTTGGGCCCTCCCCCCACAAAAAAAGAAGAGGTTAAAACTATGGGCTAAAATTGTTTGTGTATTTTCTTTCTTCATTCTACTTTTTTCCCTGATTACCCAGAGTAGTTGAAAATTTGTATTCTGTTTCTATACCATCACCATCATCATCACCATCATCTCAGACCCACTAGCACCAGCATCACCATCAACATCATCATCACCAATACCACTATCACCATCTCATCTTTATCGTCACCTTCATTACCATCATTATCATCACCACCACCGTCAGTACCACTACCAGAACAATCAGCACCACTATCACCATTGTTATTTAGCTATAGTGGTTCAAGATACTGCTTCTGGTGGCTCAGACGGTAAAGAATCTGTCTGCAATGCAGGAGACCTGGGTTCGATCCCTGGGTCAGGAAGATCCCCTGGAGAAGGGAATGGCAACCCTCTCCAGTATTCTTGCCTGGGAAATCCCATGGACAGAGGAGCCTGGCGGGCTACAGTCCATGGGGTCACAAAGAGTTGGGCACAACTGAGTGACGAACACTTGGCCTTGGTGTTCAAGATAAACAGGGCACTAGGTCTACTTCTCCAACACCTTTCAGCAGATATTAGCTTCTCCAGGGCTCTGTCTGCTTTCTCTCTCCCCTTCTCTAGTGTTGGGAGTAGGAGTGGAAATTGAGGGATGAGAAAAGGGTGGCTTGGGCTTTCATTTTTCCCATCTCAAACCCCAGCCGAATCTAACTCTTCTCAAGCTCTGGGGCCAGAATTCACTGGCAACCTGACTAAATTAAACAGTGAAAATGGTCGCCATAAATTCAACTATTAAAATAAAGTTGGGAGACATTGCTAAAACTGGAGCAGAGGGTCAAGGAGCTAACAGTTGGTGCTAAATTTTGCAAAGTCCCTTCATACCTCCTAGGCTATTTCCACTTTTTTTTTTAATGAAGATATTGGATTAGATTGGATTAGATGATTCTGCAGTTCTTCTGGCTCTGGTGAATTTTTGTCTGTCATCCTGGGAGAAATAGACTATTGTTGTCATGGTGCAGCCTATTCATAAAAGCACTCAATCCTATCCTCACCCACATACAATACCAAGTATTGAACCAGCAGTGAATTTACCAAACTTCTGGGAGTCTCTATTTCTTCCTCTGCAAAAGAGTAATAATAATGATAATAATAATATCTACCCATAAGACTACTGGAAAAATTAAAAAATATGCACCTTGCCACGTGGTAGAAACTGACTAAATTCTAGTCTCCTCTCCCTCCCTCTTCAGCCTGTAAAGTTCTCAATGAAGTTGAAAAAGAAATCTGGGGATGTAAAGCTATCTGTGAGCTTAGAAAGCTCTTTCAAAATTCCTTAACAACAATTTACACTTTCATTAACCAGTTCACAGATGACTTATTTTTCCCAATCTATATGACAAGCAGAGGTCCCTGACACCTATCACACTAGAGTGCAAGCAACAGTAATTTGGGGTCACTCTTCTCATCCCATTTTATTTTCATCAGAGCATTTGTCACTACCTGTAACACGTGGTGGTTATTTAAACTCCATGAGAGTAGGGACTTTGTCTATTTTGTTTTCCTGTATATCCCCAGTAAATAGAACAGTATTTGACACCTGGTGGGTATTCAGTGGAGAGGAAGAAGGGGAGAGGGAAAGTGGGTGTGTGTAGGCAAACACATGGGTGTATTACAATTTCTCGCTTACATGTTAGTTTTATTCAGCAGATTAAGAGGGGCCATGCCATTTCAGCTTGGCATCCTTAAAACTGATACAGTATTTTAGGCACACAATATCCAATTAATACCTAAGTGAAGAAATAAATGAATGCATTCATTTATGTATATCATTTGTCTCAATATGATTGTCAAGGACAAAGTTAATTATAAAAAGAGGGGGAAGTTGCTTTGTCTTCTGCAGAGAACTGCAGAGAAGGTTGTAATACGAAAGCAAAAAAGTTCAAAATCTTGGAAAACTCAATCATAACCCAGAAAAAAAAAAAAAACAGCTAATCAGCATTCTTAATCAAAACCACACTGGAAGAAAAAACAGTAATTGCACAGATTTCAAACAAAAGACAAAGTTAAAAAAAAAAAAGCCTTAAAAGAGAAAAAAACAATAGCAAATGGAAACGCACTCATGTCAAAGAGGTCTTTCCGAGGGCTGCTTTCTGCACTGCTGCCCGTGGCCGGCCCCGTCTGCTGGGGGATACGCTGGGTATTGACATAGGTGGGAGCTTCTCCCGTAGGAGCCACATGTGATTTCCCTTCAGGCATGCTGTAGATGTCCAAGGATCCTGCAACAAGAAAATGGACCTCTTTTCTCTTCTGATCGTAATGCTATTTATGTTAAGCCACCCAATGTTTCACAGAGAAGTTCCTTTAGTCCATTCATGAGAAAATCGTTCTTTCAAATGCCCATCTATTAAATCTCTTCTCTGGCCCTCTTAGCCTGCTGTGCTTCAGCTAGGATACTCTCCACTCCTTCCTGTCAAAACGGGCCCTGCCAGCCCAGGATGGTGGACAACATGAAGGTTAGGAGCCTTGTTAAGACCCTAGGCCCATCTGACTCAGGCCGGGGTGGGGCGCGGGAGGAGCAGGGGAACCACACCAGCCACAGAAGCTTCCTCAGCCTCCTCATTCCCTCTGCGAAGGACTGAGATCAAAATAACTGAGCAGAAGAACAACGAGCCTTATTTTCACTGCTCTTTTTTTAAGTGTAGGTAAATGCGTCATATATTAACTCCGCTAGAAATGCAATGCATTTCCAATGCTCTCACCCCATTTTTAGAAATAAAGCAATATTTACCCCGTTTGCTAATGAACTGAGACTCTTTCCTTGTAAAACAGAATCAGGCTTGTGCCATCTGGGACTTCCCAACTGAACCAAGACTGTTGAGGTTGGACTGGGGGAGGGTCACTGCTATTGTCGCCCAAAGTGAAGGAAGGGTGTGGCCCTGCCCAGGTCACCATCTGATTCTTTGCACAGGATCACTGTTTCTAACAAACTTCCACAGACACTCTCAAGATCCCCTTGGGCCTAGAGAGAGGTCACCTCTCCAGGTGCTGGGGCATGAAAGTTGGCTCAATCCAACCAGCAAGAGTGGGTTCAGGATTCTTTAAGAAACTTTCCCAGGAGCCCACTGAAGGCCTTTTGGCAGCACCACTGTCTCTGGCCTATAAGCCTGAGAACGCAAGTGTCCTGAGAAAGTCATCAGCTTCAGATGTTTGCGAGTGTTGAGTGCAGGCCAGGGAGACATACACTCCCTGATGGTGGTACCCAGAGTTCAGTTTCATTTATGGGAAATGGCTGCTAGCAGATTAATAGAGGTTTATTTGTTCTATGGACAAGGTATTTATTGCTTTCCAATAAGAACTTGAAATTCATTAAGAGTTATGAGTCTCAAGTTCCAGGCCAAGAACTTATATAAGGCTCATTTTTTCTCTGGTGAATTTCTTACATTGTCTGTTCCTTATCTGGCTGGAATAACTTGGATATAAAAAAGGACCTCATTTTCAAATAAATCTAACAAATTTTTCGATAGAGTCAATATCTAATGTAAGTAATGTGTCTCCCTTAGTCTTTAATAGTTATTCTATGTCTAAGTATATGATTGTTGTCTAAAATTTTTTAAATGTATACAGAACAAAGTTGAAAATGTAAAAAAGTGCCTCTGGCAAAGTTATAACTTTAATTTGCTATTTCTATCCAATTCTGAGGTAGAGTCATGTCGTTTGTTGTCTCTTTTATGGATTATTAACTGGGAAGCACAAATGGGTCATCGTTCAGCTGGGGCAGGCATGACATAAAATTATTTCACAAGAGGAACATTTAAAATACATATTGTCATTTACCCACTAGCACAAATGGCAATAATGAAGGTGAAAACCTTAATGTTAAACCAACAAATGGTTAAAATATATACATAGAAGCGTACATCAGATCTTAATTCATTTATCAATCCATCTCCTTTAGACCCTGTAGCCAGGACCCTGGAACTGTCAAAAGTTCTCGAAATGTTTGAGGAGGTAAAATGTTTAAAATTAAAAGAAACCTTTAAAACGTACTCATAGATACATACATGTGTATGCTTATCTAAAAATAACTGTCTAGAGAATAGAGACTGATGTTAGCAATTAAACTAAGTAGTACTTAATTAGTCATACTATTTTTAATGCAGGATGTAGGTGCATGCTTATAGGTTTGATGAGAAGTGAAATGTCCTCTAAAAGGACCCAGGCCCTGTGACAGACTTGTACTCCAGGTGCCATCTCTGCCAGGGCTGGTGTCACTCCGTTCTTCCTAAAGGTGACCGTAGAAGAGGGAGGTGGGGCAGAGGAAAGGAAGGGAAAACTACAAGCCGCTATTAGAAGCTACCAGGATTCCATATTGACTCCAGAGTCTCCCACCTTAGCCTCATTTGAACTGGGTGTGGAGTTGGCCCTGGGGAGGTGAATTCCTCAGCCCCTGGGTGGGCAAGCTCTCCTGTCGGAGAAGGGCCTTAGGGGCACAGTCTCAGCGTGCAGGAGAACAGGAAGAACTGGGAGGGGTGAAGAGTGAGCTGGTCCTGGTGCCCTGGGAGGGATTATCTGATGCGTGCCCTCCGACATCCCTGACAGCCATTATTTCTATTTCTTTGATTTGGTATCCCTGACAGCCGTTATTTCTGTTTCTGTGATCCGGATGGGATACTGAAGCCCCACCCACAGCAGTTATTTCCAGTCAGCCACTCTGCCACTCCACAGGACAGGAACCAGCCAGTAGGGAGCACATCACTTTTGAAAAGTGTTTTTATGTTTCTTGTCCACCTTACCTTGCCTCTCACCTTGCCTGACAGGTGTAGGCTGCCAGTCTTCACCAAACGGGTCTCCTAAGTGTCTCCCCTGGTAGTAAGTTTGCTCTTTTCCTGCAAACTATAGACATATGTAAATACAAAACAAGAAAAAGCCCTCTTCTTCTTGCATCTCCACCTTTAAAAACCATAGTACAGTAGAAGGGACTTCAGTGGCCAGTGGATTGCATTCCTGTTGCACTCAATTTTCCCTTCATGCCTCACAGTTGACATGAAGATTTGGGAAGTAAGTCTGTGTGGGTGTGAAAAAAGAGGCTACATCTCATCAAAACTACAGATGCTCCCTGTTTTCATAACCTACCCCCCCACCTCCCTTCCCTAGTGTGACCATAAACTGAACTCTCTACATACAGCCACATCACAGAACATGCCTTAAAATGGATTTCAGTTAGAGACTATTTATGTGTCAGAACATAGTTTCCACCCAGCATATACACCTATAACCATTCATTCCTGGGCAAATCCACCTTGTCGATTCCTTCGTATAGAGCTTTGACCCTTGGCTTCAGTGTTATTTACCACTTTTATTGTCATCCACATAAGGTAAGCGACATCAAAAAATTCCCTGTAACAATGAGATATCATAGAGCTACCAAAACTCTAGAAAGAGAATGTCTTACTAGAATTTTGAATTAGAGAGAAAATCAGGGAGATAAGTAAAATAGAAAACCTAAAAAAAAAAAAAATCCTATGTTAAAGGCTTACATTCTTTCTCTTTCCAGAGAACTCAAAGTACCCCAGGCTTTTAAAAGTCTTGAACTCTCTCTTTTCCTCATTAAGTTTGCAATACAATGGGATTTGTCCTGGGATGAAGAGGGAACTTGCAGACTTGTATATCTCAGGAATCACAATGGCATTCCAAGGCATTTGGAACCTTGTGGTGTTAAAGCAAAAGCTTCCCCTACTGTCTGCTTTATGAAATTCAAGGGGAGGAAGTTTGTGAGTTTTTCTGTCTGGATAAAACATTAGCCTGAAAATAGAGTTGAAGAAAGCAATAGGAAATGAAGTTCAGTTAGCTCCCATTCAAGGATAGATATAAGACTCACCTGGACTGTGTCAGGACCATGGGGTCTGGCTTTCAGGCGAGCATCGGCAAACCCCCCTGGAGGAGGTGTCTTGCTTGGAACACTGTTGTAATACGGGTGATCTGACCCATCACTCTCCTCTTCAGTCCACGGCTCATCTAGACTCTGCATTCTGTTAAGAGAGGGTTTTCAAGAACTTTAACCAAAAGTTGAACTTACTGTCAAAACAAAAAAAAAATCTAATGTTAGTAACGATAGTCCCAGATAGCAGAGTTTAGTCACTCCCCCTTCAACGACCTAGGTCTCAGGCACATGTAAAAAGCCGATGAGTGGTTCAGCCAAATACCCCTGTCTTATTCACAGTGCTACCCTTTAGAAAATTCCAGTCTTATTTGAAACAGAAAAGAACTCCTTTATTAACACTACATTTTAATAAGGAAAGACATAGTTTATATGTAATGATAATCAGCTTCTTGAGGTATAGACACACATTTTCGTACATGATGAAATTTACCCAAAACAAAATTAACTTTAATGGAGATTTAGTGACATCAAGGAAAATGGCAGAGTAAGGACCTCTGAATTATTCTATCCTCTGTAATGACAACAAGAAAGCTAGCAAAAAATGTTTTCATGATCAACATTTTTAGAACTCTGGAAATTAGTCAGAAGTTTGTACCAATCTAGAGAGTGTTTATTAAACAAACAAAAAAAGACATAAATAGCTGGCAGGACAAGAGTTTTGGTGCATTTTAACTTGCTCTGTTGCCATCTCCAGGGTAGCCTTAAGAGCTAAAATCCAATAGTCACAGTGAAAACCAGCAGACTAAATAACTAGACAAGGGAGGAGGCAAAAGGGCATTTAGGTTCCTGTAAAGCCCTATTCCCAGAAAACAGTCATTATGACCTTTCTGATCATTCTCTATAAGACTCCACTCCCAAAACTGTCTTTATTTGGCCTGATTCAGAGCTTGTCTATGGAAAACAGCTTCTTCCATAAGGTCATTTGTCAAAAACAATTAGAGGCAATTATTTAACACTATGACTCCCTGAAACAATAGATAACATTTGGGCTAAAGAGTAAGCTAGTCAAAAAGCTTAAAAAAAAAAGCTGGGAAATGATAAACTTTGACATATTTCTAGGAATCTAGGCATCTACATGTATGCATAGAACTGTTTTCACATCCGGGTTGTGTACCTGCTCAGAAAAGATGTAAGAAGGCATTAGTTCTCATCTACACTGACCTTGAAGTTTTGTACAAGCAGAAAGTGAAACCTAAAGCAGAGTTGCCAGCTGCCCAGCTAAGTGTTGAAGGAGTTCCCCAAGATTCACACAGAGTAACTCAGCAAAAGCTGGGGGACTTAGTGATTTCAGACATTTAAATCTCTCTTTGATCATTAGCTGTCTAATAAGTAACCTGAGCAGAGTTGTCAGTGGTCATATGTAACAAAATATAGACTTTACTACGTAGGTTTAGGAAAATCATTAAAACAAACAACCACAACAAACAGCAACAACAGCTACTCGAGTGAACATGAGTAATAAGAAAGTAAAACAGTCCTATTGTTTATATGGAGACCTTTTAAGAGATCTGCTGCTGCTGCTGCTGCTGCTGCTGCTGCTGCTAAGTCGCTTCAGTCGTGTCCGACTCTGTGCGACCCCATAGACAGCAGCCCACCAGGCTCCCCCGCCCCCGGGATTCTCCAGGCAAGAACACTGGAGTGGGTTGCCATTTCCTTCTCCAATGCATGAAAGATCTGGATAGAGGGTAAAAACCAGCCTCAACGTTACCTTAAGCCAAAGCCTAATCCAGAGCAAGTGAATCCCAATTCTTTTCAATTTATAAGAGATGAGGAAGCTGCCGAAGAAAAGCTTGAATCTAGCAGAGGTTGGTTCATGAGATTTAAGGAAAGAAGACATTTCCATAACATCAAAGTTCAAGGCAAAGCAGCAAATGCTGCTGTATTGATAGAAACAATTGCAAGTTATTTGGAGTATCTCACTAAGATAACGAAGGTGGCTATACTAAACAACAGATTTTCCATGCAAACAAAATAGCTTCATATTGGAAGAAGATACCATCCAGGAATTTCAGAGCTAGAGAGAAGTCAGTGTGCCTGGCTTCAAAGCTTCAAAGGACAAACTGACTCTTGCTAGGGGCTAATGCAGTCAGTGACTTTAAGCTGAAGCCAGGGCTCATTTACCATTCTGAAAACTTTAGGGCCCTTAGGAATTATGCTAAATCTACTCTGCCTGTGCTCTACAAATGGATCAGCAAAGTCTGGACAACAGCATATCTGTTTATAGCATGGTTTACTGAATATTTTAAGCCCACTGTTGAGACCTATTGCTTGGACAGAAATAATTCCTTTCAAAATATTACTACTTATTGACAATGTACCTGGTCACCCAAGAGTTCTAATTGAGATTGATGTTGTTTTTAAGCTTGCTAACACAACATTCATCCTGCAGCCCCTGAATCAAGGAGTAATTTCAATTTTCAAGTCTTATTACTTAAGAAATACATTTCATAAGGCAATAGCTGCCATAAGTAGTGATTCCTCTGATCGACCTGAGCAAAGTCAACTGAAAGCCTTCTAGGAAGGACTGATCATTCTAGATGCTATCAAAAGCACTCATGATTCATGGAAAGAGGTAAAATCTTCAACATTAATAGGGATTTGGAAAAAGTTAGTTTCAACCCTCATGGATGACTTTGAGGGGTTTAAGACTTACAGGGAAAGTCTGTGTTTACACAGAACTTTATGAGCTATAAATGCCTATATGATAATAGACAATATCAAATCAACAACCTGAATTTCTACCTTAATAAACTAGAAAATAAGAGTTAAACCCAAAGCAAGCAGAAAGAAAAACAATAAAGATTACGGTAGAAATAAAAATAGTAGAAAATCAATAGAGAAAAGCAATGAAACCGAGTTGGTTATTATAAAGATCAACAGTATTGACAAATCTATAGCTAGACTGACCAAGAAAGAACAGAGCAGACTCAAATTACTAAAGTTAGGAAGAAAAGAGGAGAAATTTATATTATAAGAGAAACTATTAAAAATTATATACCAATAAATTAGATAATCTAGATGAAATTGAAAAATTCCTATGAAGACTCAATCTATCAAAAATAACTCAAGAAGAAATAGAAAACCTGAAGATAACTGTAACAATGAGACTAAATTAGTAATCAAAATCTTGCTTCCCAAGAAAAGCCCAGAATCATATGGCTTCCTGGTGAATTCTATCTAATATCTAAAGGAGAATTAATAGCAATTCTTCATAATTCCTCCAAAAAAAAGAAGAGGAGGGAAGTTTTCAAACTAAATGTATGATGCCAGTATTATCCAGATGCCAAAACCAAAGACACTGCAAGGAAAAAAAAACTGCAGACCAATATCTTTTATGAATATGAATGGAAAAATCCTCAACAAAATACTAGCAAGTCAAAAATCCTCCAGCAAAATACAAAAAAACATACACCATGACTAAGTGATATTTCTCTGGTAATGCAACGTTGTTTAAACATTCAAAATCAACTAATGTAATATGTCATACCAATAGAATAAAAACAAATGCCAAATACTCATATCTAGACACAGAAAAATCATTTGACAAAATCTGACAGTTTTCCATGATTAAAAAAACCCTCAAAAATCTTGGAATAGAAAGGCCTTTTTCTCAACCCAAAAAAGAGAATCTATGAAAAGTCCACAGCTAAGAATACAATTAGTGGGAAAATTCTGGATATTTTCCTCCTAAGATCAGGAACATAATAAGTTTGTCCCATCTTTCTACATCTAATCATTGTACTAGAGATTCTAGCCAGGACAATTATATAATAAAAAGAAATAAAAGACATTCAGATTAGTAAGTCAGAATAAAACTATATTTACTTGCACAGGACACGATCTTGTATATAAAAAATACTAAGGAATACAGATACACACACAAATGATTAGAGCTAAGTGAATAATAAAAAATAAATGAATTCAGCAAGTTTCCACAATACATAATCAGTGTATAAAATCAATTGCATTTTTATATATTAACAATAAAACCCAAATTAATAAGCAATTTCACTTATACTATCAAAAAGAATAAAAGATTTATTCTTTTGGTAGTAATAACTACCAAAGCAAGTGCAAGACTCATAACTGAAAATTATAAAACATTATTGAAAGAAATTAAGGAATTCTAAACAAGTGGAAAGACATCCTGCATTCATGAATTGAAAGATGTAATACTGTTAAGATGGACGTACTCCCCAAATAGGTCTACAGCTTCAAGATAATTTCTATCAAAATCACAATTGTCTTCTTCTGTAAAAATAAACAAGCTATGCTAAAATTCATTTGAAATTGCAAGAGGCCCACTATAGTGATCAGGGTCAAACATTAATAAAGAAGAATGTAGTTGGAGGACACACACTACCTCACTTCAAACTAACTATAAAGCTATACTAGTCAAGAAAATTTGAATCATATTAATCATCTTTTCTGACCACAATGCTATGAGATTAGAAATCAACTACAGTAAAAAAAAAAAAAACAATTATTAAAAAAAACCACATGGAGATTAAACAATATGTTACTAAACAATCAATGGATCACTGAAGAAATAAAAGAGGAAATCAAAAAACGTCTAGAGACAAATGGCACCAAAAACATGGCAATCCCAAATCTGTGAGATGCAGCAAAAGCAGTTCTAAGAGGGACCTTTATAGCAATACAATCTTACCTCAAGAAATGAGAAAAATCTCAAGCAAACAACCTAAACTCACACATAAAGCAACTAGAGAGAAGAACAAACAAAATCTCAACAGTCCTCCAGAAGGAGAGAAGTCATAAAGATCAGAGCAGGGATAAATGATATAGAGACAAAAGAAAACAAAAGCAAAGATCAGTGAAACTAAAAGCTGGTTCTTTGAGGAGATAATGCTGGTAAGCCTTTAGCTAGACCTATCAAGAAAAAAAGGGAGAGGACTCAAATCAATAAAATTAGAAATGAAAAAAGGAGAAGTTACAACAGACACCACAGAAACACAAAGGACCATAAGAGACTACTGCAAGCAACTATGTGTCAGTAAAACAGACACTCTGAGAGAAATGGACAAATTCTTAGAAAGGTACAACCTTCAAAGACTGAAACAGGTAGAA